CATAATTTAAAATTTCCTGTTTCGAATTTCGAGGAGCCTTCATCGGAATTTCAGTTAAAATTTTTGATGATGTCCAATATTTTTCATGAAACACGAAAAATATGTTTCTCTGAAATTGCTTCTAAAATAGGAAATTTCCCTCTAATTTCATGGCATTATACCTTCAGCAAAAATGTAATTTGAAAAATTCGGACAGTGCCTATAATTTTTACGTTTCTTCAGTTATTACATCTCCTGCGATTACCGTCGGATGGGGTACAAGGATACTACGCACTTGGGATGGTTATATTCTCGGCCGCCTGTTAATCCGTTGATTACATAAGACTAGTTGCAACAGAGTGTCTTCGGGCGATTGATGCACGTATAAGTACACGTCCTGCCATTGTAACATTATCGATGGTGAATACACTGGTGAGGCGATGTACGGAAGATTGTATGTGGAGAAAATTCATTGATCAGATTGTAGCAATAATATTTTGCACAATTATTCGTGCAGGAATGAGCTGAATGTGAAATAAATCTACGTTGCTTCTATTTATTGAAGCACTCGACACGATTAACATTTACAAATTTCAACAACTACTGGGATAGAACTGTTTTTTCAATTTAGCATGAGATTTTTCTATTAAAAATTTTTATGATGTGACAGTTCCACTGAAATTACAAAGAATATCGCAGTTCAACACTCATTATTTGATGGAACAAAACTGGAAATTGTAAATTACAGTCGAACGTTTTCATGAAAATTCATACAGATCAGAAAAATTCAGGTGAATACATTCTTGAATTATTAGAAAAATCAGAAATATCTTTGCTGTTTTCATCTAAATAGAATTCAATGTTGTTCTTTTAAAAATTACTGTTGAACTGTCCACAAAATTTCAATTTTTTTTTAACAATGCAAATGATACATTATCTAGCATTCAGTGTAGTGCAATTTTTACACTGTTAATAAACAATTGAAACTCCAGGAAAAATCAATGCCACTCATGTCATTACAAAATCAATGCAATTCATGATTTCCCACTGAAGAAATATCCGAAAATTTCAGTAGAAAAGTACAAAAAGTTCGGCCGAAGAAACCCAAATATCCATAATTCTGAACAATTTTTTTCCGGTGAATACTACTTCAACGAATATAATAAAAAGGCTTCTCATGATTTATTATCCCAGAAGTCAAACGAGATTCAGTTCAGAATCTCTTAGCAATTCTTCTCGTGTTACGCAATCGACCTCGTTCGCACTTCTTGTGACGTGAATTTTCACCTGGTAATCATACCTCACGGCAGATGAAACACTAGCGCAATTTTTTCCCTTGATAAATGAAGAATATTCCTCTCAGCTCTACCCCGTGTTCGTTAACTCAATAAAAGACGGAATATAATCACCAAAACCCGAGATGATAAAGAAATTTCAACCAAGGAGGAGGGAGAAATGTAGTAAAAATTCTTGAGGTGGACGAATGAAAAAACGAATAAAGAGCGGCTACCGTGCGGCCTTAAGTGCCTCAGCAGTAACGTGACACGGTTCGCGACCACTCGATTATTATGATTATGTAGGTGGAGGACGTTAGTTCGCACCAACGGTGCAGTCAGCGGGATCAGTGATCCAGCGGCATAACTAGTCAATGTGTTCGCCAATTGCGAGTCATATTTGTAATGGATGCATTTGCAGTGGGTTTGGGCCCCACCTATAGAGCCCTTTCGAGGTGCCACACACACATGCCATTGGCAACTCTCATTGCTTGCAATACGTGGCGCAAGAATGCCAATATGGGAGAGGGAGAGAGCACGTACGCGGCGGGCGCGCTCTTGCTGGTCACAATTTTCATTCCTCACACTCTTTGGCTTGCGGCACGACCTTACTCGACATTTTTTATTATCTTTTCTAGTCGCTTTATGAGGTTTTTTAAAAGGGTGAGCGGGGGCGAGGATTTTATGTTATACATATTTTTTTGTTCAGGTGGAGAGCGTTTGGTAACACTAAAATCCGTGACCACCGGCACTTTGGTTCTTAAGGATGTCCAAGTACTTTGGCTATTTTTTCTTCAGTGAAATGTTTTCTACCTTTGTAGACGAACATCGGAGCTTCTGAGCTTCTGGGCTTTGCTTCTGAGATGCTTCTGAGATTTCAGTTCAGATGCATTTGACCCTAAGTCTCCGGGCATTTTACAATGATTTTATTATTTAAAGTTTACAGGACTGAATTTGAATCTCGATTTGAATTGTTACAGAACATTTTAAAAAGCTGAAAAAAGATTAGAAAGTTTACCTTTGGGGGAAGATTGGTGAAATAATTTAAAGATTGCAATTTTTGAGTATTACGAGCATTTTCTATGAATAATTTATAAACAATCAATTTTTCAGCGTAAAAATCCGTGACATCCCATATAGTGTTATGGATCATCATACAGCGTTATACATCTCATGAAGAGAAAATAAAGGGCACTTATTTTATTTCTTAACCGTTTTATCACAGCAGTAATTAATATTTCACTGAATTGATATTCTGAAAAACATTAACCTGGGGTTTCAGTAAGGAGATATGTGAGAGAGAAGGTTAGAGAAGGCGACGGAATGAATCATCTGGTCACGTTGAGTTGATGTTCGCGGATGCGGAGGGGGATGAAGAGTGCCGAAATCTTACGAGTGCGCGATCGGGTCCTAGGATTCGGGTCCTAGGATCCTAGAGCACCGGAAAAATTTGCCAGCCAGTGCACGGAGAGCAATATTCAATAAAAATTGCCAGAAAAAAGACGTAAAAATTACGTTTCGAAACGTAATCTGGGAGCGAAGTAAAATTCAATAAAAAGTGTCAATCGTCACGTAAATTCTACGATCTGTTCCGTAAAAATTACTCATCCGTCCGACGCCTCACGGCTAGCCATGAGTCACCGTGAGGGGGAGATTTTAACAACACGTTCCGTAATTTTTTCGGAACTTTTCGTAAAAATTCTTAAACATCCAACAATTTTCATGTTCCGAGGCATAATAAGTCTTGAAGTTTCTGTTAGATTTTACAACTTCCAGAAAAATTACGTGACTTTTTCGTATTTTTTTCCGTGACAGACCCGAAAATTTACTGAACGTTTCAAATTTATTCTCTTATATTCCTATAGAAATTCACTGAAAACGATTCTCGCTTGCGGATTACGTGAAATGTTCCGTAATTTTTCTTGAATATTTCTCTCCGTGTCATAATTTTTCTCGTATTTCTCGTAAAAATTCACTGTCGCTTCGATTTTACCGTGCTGCACAAGAATTTTTCCCCGCATTTATTCGAAAAATGACTCGTGCAACAGTACTTTTTCCTACTCTTTGCGGTACACTTCGCCTGGAAAGACCATCTGAACCCACTTTACTATGCGAGCACGGTAATTTTTCTCGTACATTTCTCTCCGTGTATGTTTCATTATTGAATCAGGTTTGTGCATATACTTGATTCTGGTATAAAATGGTCCATTCAAGTATATTTTTCTTCCGCGTTATAGTTCAACTTCATTGAATTTATTTATCCTGGACCGCAAGGCCGAATGTTATCTTAATTATGTTTTTAACACGGTCGAATAACACATCTCTACCAATTATATTTTAAAGTTATTTCGGTATGATCCTCGATTGCTATGTTCACATTACAATTTTTAATTTTACATTCTCTCTGTGTGAGTAAAAAATTTAATCAAATTAAATGTATGACTGTGAATTAAGGAAATTACGGAAAATATGAAAACGAAGCCCAGTTACCATAAAAAAGTTTGTTAGGGTTTTCAATTTATTTTGAGTGGGTTATAAGTGGATTATGAGTGAGTAAGTACATTGGGTATTCACTCACTGAACAGTGTGAATGAACAAAATTTAGTGAAGGGACTCGTGGTCTCGTGGTTTACCGTAAAAAAAGCCCCAGCTATCCGAGTGTAGTGGCAAAGTTTGACAGAGATATCGGAACCTGCAGGTTGTATGGAGAGAAGTTGATTTTACGGGTTTGCCAGATGATCCGAGATGGAAAATTCCCTCGCTTTCTAATATCCGTTGTTTTCTATTCCACAAAACTCGTAAATATCTTCGCAAAAATTATGGTAAACTCGCGTGGAGAGAAATTTTTAACGTGAATTTTTACTGGGGCTACGCGGAGAGAAAAGGTGGATAAAAATTGCCTCGAAAATCGTGACTTTTACTTCTGCCAAATGACAGAATTTTCACTGTAATCTGAAATTATTTCGAAATTATTTTTTCCCCTTAAATCGCATTCAGTGTCACAGTCCTGAAAATTACAACTGATATTTAGAGTTCTCTTTGATTTTTCCCCGAAATTCTGAATTTTCAATAACAAAACACCTTAAAATTTCCGTGGCAATGAAATTCGATAAAAATTTCCAAAAAGTGCACCGGAAATTCCAGCGAAAAATTGTTAACAATACCCTTTCCATCATCATACCTCCTCAACCCCCTAATCCCGAAAATCATCGCCTCATGGCCCGCAAATCCCGTAAAATCAGATGTAGATCGAAAAAGCAGTGCTAATTACGTGTGCAGTCGCCACCCATTTCACCAATGTCTCCAGCGGATTCATCCGGCTTTCCATTCCCAATCCCAGTCATCTGGGCCAACGACAGTAGGGATTAACGTCCGAGAAAAAAGTCAACAAGTTTTCATTCATCTGCCCGCATCATACCATCGCTATTTCCCCCGATAAACGATCATCACAACGTTAATCCTCACTCCTGCTATTTCCAATCGCAAACAGTAAAAAAAATCACAGAAAAAAAAGCAAACATCAAAAAAGATATGAATGCGGGTGAAGAGGTACGCGACACAGTGTTCCGAGGTTTTATAAGGAAGGAGAAGGAAAAGTGGAGGAGGGCAGGTGAGACGTAGGTGGAGGGAGAGAGAGTGAGGGGGCTCTCCCCCAAGCTGTTTCTTTCGCCTTCTCTCGTTTAGCTGTTGAAAACGTAGAGCGGTGTCAGGAAGGAGCCGCTTGGGGCCCCCAGTCCGGGACTTGGCAGCGTCACGTCATCGTCTCGAGGACTTTAGCTTGGTGCGCGCTTACAATTGCATTGCAAATATTATACCGAGAGTACACATCACGATTGGGTACCAAAATGGCCGCCACCTGAGAATCAATATTGTTATTTTTTTTATTTACGCCGAGTAAATAGAATTGATTTTCGTTCGGTTGATTTTTGTTAGTGAAATGGTGAACTGTGACGTGTAAATTGCTCGTTGGATTAGGAGAATTCACCTGACTTGAGGTAAACAGAGTTATTTTTTATCGATGATTTTTTTCTCACTTCAACGTGTGAATTGATATTTTAAATGATCTATCGAGCGCGAAGAATGCAGATTGGCTGCATTGCCTGGAGAAGTGAATGGTAATTCGATACACAAATTCCGCATGAATCTGAAAGTAAAGTTATGGATCTTGGGGGGTGGGCGCGGGGGGAATCGGCGCGTTGATGAGGAGCAGAGTGGTTTTTCGGGATAAGGGAAAATAAACGGTTTGGAGAGGTTCTTTGGAGTTGTCCTTGGCATTCAGAGACAACGGCCAGTTCTCCTTCTTGGCTGTTGCGTGTGGCAGGCACATGATAGGGGAGAAGGATGATTTTGTAAATAGTGGGGATGGGAGGAGGCGGAAAATGTTTTTTTTCGAGCTAATGCTGATCGGCAATGGCGATGGCGGAAGTGCGAATGCAGAGCGGCCAAGCGCAACGACTGGTTCTCATGTTTTTTTGAGTAAATAAAATGTGTTAATCATTGCGACTGTGATTTCACACTGGGGATTTCTTCAGTTTGATTTATGGGGATGGGAAGGTTGCGCGAGTTGATTGGATTACGGTAATTCGAAAGGACACATTTGCGGAGTGAATTGATTGCGAAATTTTGGGTATTTGGCTGAATTTTTTTTGTGCCTCTGAGCTTTCGATTTTTTGAGTGGATGAGGGGTTGATGGGGTGCGAATGGTATTATGCAAATAGAACGGAGTTACCTTGGGTTCTTATGGAGAAAGTTGGAGGAATCAATTAAATGTAATTAATTGCAAAATAAGAAGTTGTGGGAATGGAATTGTTGGGGAATTTTTTTCCATGTAAATGACGAAATTATACTGAGATTTTTGATGGATAAGTATTTAGTTTTTAATGCAAAAAGGGATTAATTGAACACTTGATTACAATTTTCATCAAATTTTCGCAGAAAACTGAGAAATTCTTTGGAATATTCTGGGGTTTTAGTATTGATTGAGGTCGCATAATCCTTTTTTATGATGCAATTGAAGGGATTAATTCAATGCAGTTGATTGAAAATGCAAAATTATGGAAATGAGATAATCTAGGGGATTTTTTCCCTGAACGTTATGAAATTTCATTGGATATTTTGACTAATAAATTGTGGTTGAGGTTGGATAACCAATTATCGACAGAAGAATGTTCTTTCCCTTTCACATTATTATACCCAGACGCCATCGTTATCTCAATTTTTATGAGGAAATTAGAGGAATTAATGGCATACAATTGAATGAAAATAAAAAGTTCTGGAGATAGAACAGTTTAGGATTTTTTTCGGGAAAAATTACGGAGCTATATTGCGCCCTTGGCTGACAATTTTGAGTTAGTTGAATTATCAATTCAATTATTGACGAGGAAATGTCCTTTCGCCTCTCAGATTTTTCAGCGAATAAAATTTATGAACGATTGCAAATATTATTACCGCAAAGGCAACATCATTTGCCCATTTTTTACGGAGAAATTTGGGGGATCAATTGAACAAACTCAAAACGTCACACGGTCGATAATAAATTAAAACTCCTGAAAACGAAATAGTTTGTTTTTTTTTTTTCATGGAAATGAGGAAATCTTGTTGGACACTTGAGTAATGAGTTTTGTTGAGTTCGAATAATTAATTATTGATTAAGAAACGTCTTCTGCCTTTCATATTTTTTTAAGGAACAAAATTTATGACTGATTGCAAATATAACTGAACAGAGACAGCTCCAATATTTCACTTGGGTATGGGGTAATTGAAGGGATTAACTTGATACAGTTAATTAACAATAAAAAGGTCCGCAAATGTTTGGGAATTTCTCGTCACGAAATTTATAAAATTGTGTTGATTATTTCCCTCATCAACTTTCCGACCAATAAAATTGCGGTATTCGACGTCCCGGGGACCAATCAGAAGAGAATTCTATCGAGAATTTTTCCCATCCAAGTTTCAGCCAATAGAATTGCACTATTCGACTGTTATTTTATACTCAGCACGGTATTTAACTGATAATGTTTGAAAATTCAGCTTTCAAATAATACGGTGAAGTGGGAGAACGTCAGACTTAATTTTGTTAACAACCACTTGCAACTGGATGCTGAACATCACAGCTCTCTACTAAAAAAGATGAGAATGGATGGACCATGCATTTCTGATGAACAATCACCGCTTTCGACGTCTTCCACTTCCTCGCATCACACCATGTTCATTTACAATAATCATGTTTTCAATTGCTTAAATTTATCGATGAAAAAATAATTTTCATTCTTTCATTGCTCATTTTGTTCAGCAATACATTAAATTTGAGTGAAGCTGAAACTATCAGAATATTCCTCAGCGGAAAATTCAATTCAGGAGATATTTAAGTATAGGAGAGTCAAATAATCATATGTACAAATGTTTTTTAAGTGCGAAAGAGTTTGTACATAACGTAAAAAACATTTGTACACCCCTAGGTTCGCCTGAGACAAATCTCCTACTGTCAAATCCTTCGTTAGTTCCAGCTTCATTAAATTTGGAGGAAAATATCGCTATTTTTCCCGCAAATATATCAAATACTGCATTCCTATTGGTTGGCAATTCAGATAGGGGAGATAATCCAGACGAATGCCTATCGTGCTTAAAAACTGTCTAAAATTTCCTCAAGTTTTTCTGCATATCAACGAGTGAGGCAAGTTTGGAAAAAAATCCCTCGCGCTGCGCCCTCGAGATTTTTGACCTGCCAGTTGCCTCCCTCGTTACCCCCCTCAATAAAAATTACGTATCTTTTTCGTAATTTCGGAGTGAAATGTGATTGTAGGAAAATTTACGGAACTGTCACGGAATATTTCCAGAGCGTTCCTCAATTTTTATCTGAATCTCCTGTGAGAAATTACGATACCGTCACTTAAATTTTCTGAGTCGATTCCGTAATCGGTGAGCGAATTGTGAGTTCCGTAATTTTTACCGAACATTTCCCTCCGTGTGAATATTTTTTCCTAGTTTTGCGATTATTTTTTCAACCAAATAGCTGTTGAATATCGTAATACTGCACTCAGCTTGGCCACATCCGAAATCCAGAGATTAACCTTCGAATCCCACTCGACCTCCAAAATTAATCGGATATTTCGCTCAAGCTTCCCGGCAAACAAACGAGTGTTGGGCACTTGAAATTTTTAATCTGCAAAACTTGACACCTTCAGTTATTTCCAACAAAGCTTTCAGGAAATATCCGATAGTTTACACGGAAAAAATATAAAATTATCTTTTACTGTGGGAACATAGTAACCGAGGATAATACCCGCCACACTCAAAATGTACTGTTGAGCCTAGCAAAAATTGCGAGTAGGTATAGCAGAAAGGTAGAATAAAATTCAATTGTAATTCGGCGCTAGTAAAAATTCGGTCAAGACAAGTCACATTTTGAAGTTGTTTCGATTACCATGTTCACATCATAATTTTTAATTTTATATTCTCTTTGTGTAAAGGTGTGGGGGTCTCACTGCTGTAAATTTTCCTCTTTTAAAAAATAACTTGAAAATTATTTACCTAAAAAAAAAATATGAAATGCCATCAAAAAGTAAATGAAATAATTAAAAGAAAAGCGATTCACAAATAAATACACGATCATAAATAATATGCATAAAACATTAACCAATTCCATTTTTTCCTGGTAACTACACTGATAGAAAGGATTAGTTATTATTAACGAAGGGATTTGGTTGGAGGCTAGAGTCTATTCGATCTCTCCAAATGTCCATTCTTTATTAGTTAACAAATGCATATTTGAGGAGCCCTGTTTGACTCGACGTTCACCTTTCAAGTGAACCATTCGTTAACTATTAACGAATATTCATTTGGCCATATTCAACTCTACCATTCGTCAATAATTAATGAATCTCATTCAGAATAAATGAATCAGTCTATCAGTGCATGAAATTTCGCTTGAATATTCAATAACTAAAGAAAAAATGTTTTCTTTCGTTTCAGTTCACCGAAAAATAATCAGAGGGACTGAAGATTGAGAGAAGATCCAGCCGTTGTCCGGTCCCAATGAGTTTCTCACAAGGACGTATTTACGCACTCACAAAGTCGTTCGTGTACCGGTGGGAAAGATTGAAATTTTAACGAGCCGCATAGGAAGTGCACAGAGAGATAGAGAGAGAGAGAGAGAGGAGAGATAAAGAATTTATACATAAAACGAGAAGCTGACCAGCCTGGTCAAACGCGCCTTGTGGTTTTGCGTTTTAACGGTATTGAGAGTTAAAATACTCATTCGTTTTGTATAACGTAAAGGCCTAATCGAATTCCAGAGATGATACGAGTTACAGTGTGGTTGTGGGTAATCGCTGGGGCGTATCTGTTTGACTACGCCTACGGTCATGTTGCCCTCAAGTTCCCACGTGCAAGAAAATATGATCTTGATTTTTTGGATAGCGCTAGAACACCAGGACCTTGTGGAATGCCTAGAGGTAATTATTAATAAATTGAATTGAATTTTTCTGTTATAATTCAGCATTTTTCGTGTAATTCAATAGAATAATCTTTTAACATTTGGAAATTAAGAGAAAAAAAATAGAGAAAATATAAAAATCCGAATACTAAAAAAATGGGGGGTAAAACGGGTCGTTTTTAGTCTTTATTATTTGACTAGGGGGCTACGCCCCCTGCTCGCACCGCTCGCCAACCCTCGTATGACCCCTGTGATCCTTATTTGGACACTTGTTACCCTTAATCTGACCCTCGTGACCCTCATTATAGCTCTCGTGACCCTTACTTTGACCCTTAATTTCGGAGTCAACTTGGATTTTTATAATATAGAGAGAAATTATTATACAACGCACCCAGAGAAATAATTCATTTGAATGAAATAGGTTTCATTAGAATCGAATAAATCAGTCTATACAAATAGACGTTATATTCAAATTTAAACTTGTTTTTTATTCGTGTTTTTACTCGCATCAAATAAATAGTTCATTAAAAATATAAACAAATGTTTCCTCTAGTCGAAAGCAGGATTTGTTTGACACAAATAAAATATTTATTTCATATCATTAAAACATTTTCGGAGAAACAAAAAATTGAGTTTTTAATATTCAACAAAAGAATTGTTGAAACGCGAACTTTCTTTGGTTGAAAAAATACAATGAAGTGCCTTTTTACGGTTTCGAATTCCACGAATTGAAGAGTCCATTGGAAAAGCGATTTTTTCAATTTTATTATCGATCAACTTTATTGAATAAAAGATTCAAAGTTCTCGGTGCCCTGTACCACCATGGGAAAACGACATTAAAAGACAGTGGATTTTAGTACATACTGTGTACTGCAATTGTAATGGAGGAGGGGGGGGGGGATAACGGAGAGGGTGGGGGGCTGATGCGGCCCCACGTCCCGATCGAGAGAGTCGACTTTCACCGTTGCAGGCATACAGAGGCTCTTTGCCTCCACCTCTATTTGCGTATAACCGATGCACACAACTACGATCCAAAGAATACGTACATAGTATGGTTTTAATGCTGATGGTATGCAGCCATAGCAATGTGCCACTGTTACCGTCTAAAACCCTCCCTGCTCCCGTTCAACTGGTCAGATGAAAATACTCGTGTGTGTCGTAAGAATTTACTATTCACCTGTCTTGTATGAAATACCATAGGGAGACATGTTGGGTATGCATGCCAATACTTTAATGCCGTGTAAACATTTGTATATGGAGTTGCTTCGAGACTTGTGGAATTGTATATTATGACCAGAGTCAAGAGGAAATAAACTGTGAGGAGGCAAATTGAATTGATTATGGGGAAATTATCGGTTGAATATCCGCAACATTATGAATTCAAAGTTTTGTAATTAGAGGAAAACTTTAATGGATTGAAAATTGATTTTTGGGAATTGTTCATTGAAGGAAAGTTGTCAAACAGTTTTGAAATAATTAATTGTCGTTAATTGTTATTCATTGTCGTTAATTGTGGGTTGAATATTCTATGAAGAAAATCGGTAATGAAAGAAGTCTTGATTAAGTGACAATAGAAATTAAGTTTAGGGAAATTAAATTCCGTATTTTGGTAATGGGGAGTTCACTTTCGACTGGACTTTTAGTATAGTGAGAAAAATCGGTAGAAAATTGTGGATTATGACCAGAGAGGGGAGAAAATAAACTATTCGAAGGAAAATTCAATTGATTACATGAGGAAATTATCTGTTAGATATCCACAACAATGGAAATTCAAATTTTTGTAATTAGAGAAAAACTAATGGAATGAAAATTCAATTTTTGGGAATTAATGAATAAAGAACAGTTGTTTCAATAAGAGAAATTATTTCAAACATCTTGGAAGGTAATTAATTGTCGTTAATTGTGGATTGAATTTTCTACGAAGACAATCGGGAATGAAAGAAACATTGAATAAGCGACATTACAAAAAGGAAATTAAATTCCGTATTTTTATAATGGAAAGTTCCCCTTGAGCTATACTTCTAGCGAGAAAAAAATATTATGAAGCTAAATATCATAATAAATATAAAATAAACATAAAATTGCGTATTATGACGAGAGAGAAGAGGAAACGAACTATTAGAAGGCAAATAATAGATTTAGATTTTATCATAAGGCCGAAAAAAACTTTTCTGGCGAATATGACTTTGCAATCGTGTAACCTAAAAAATTTTTTTGGGCCGTGAAAATATTTTTGGCCATAACAGCCGTAGGCAGGGATTCACGGACGCGTAGTGTCCGTGAAGCACTGCCTGACGGCCGGAATGACAAAACCGAATTGATTACATGATGAGAAATCATCCACTAAATCCCCACAACACTATAAATTCAAAGTTTCGATAATTAGAGGAAAACTAGTTGACTGAAAATTCAACTCCTGGAAATTGTTCATTAGAGGCAAGATGTTTTAAAAAGAGAGATAATCCCAAATATTTTAACCGGGAATTAATTATCGTTAATTGTTGATCGAATGCTCCACGAAGAAACTCCGAGAGGAAGTATCCGGAAAAAACAACGCCGGTATAGATAAAATGGTAATAATAGAAACTTTGAATAAGTAATGCCAAAGAAAGGAAATGGAATTCCGTATTTTTATAACAGGAAATTCACTTTCAGCGGAACTTTAAGTGAGAAAAAACCATTATGAAGTTAAATACCATAATAAAGATGGTGAAATATGCTTTCAACCCTCTCAACCCAGAACACACGAATCGCATCGGTGTGAGAGGAGTAGAAGGCACGTGTCTGAGAGGGTTAGACGACTGGCAAACGTATAAACTTGTTTATTATGACCAGAGAGGAGAGGAAATAGACTATTAGAAGGCAAATTGAATTGATTACATGGGAAATCGGGCATTAAACACCCACAACATCAGAAATTCCAAGTTTTGATAATTAGAGGAGAACTTAAATCGAATGAAAACTTAATTATTGGAAATTGTTCATTAGAAGAAAGTTTTTTTAATAAGAGAAATTATGCAAAACATTTTTAAGGGTAATTAATTATCGTTAATTGTTGATCGAATGATCCACGAAGAAACTCCGAGAGCAAATATCCGGAAAAATACAGCGCCTTTATTGGTAAAACGGTAATAAAAGAAACTTCGAATGAGTAGTAACAAAGAAAGAAAATTCCGTATTTGCATAACGCGAAATGCACTTTCAGCTGGACTTTTGGGGAGACGGGACTATTATAAAGTTGAATATCATAATGATATTGAAATATTTTTTCAACCCTTACGCGTCAAATACACGAAATGCATTGATGTGAGCGGAATAGGAGGTGCGAGGGTTGGACGACTGGCAAACGTATAAAATAGTTTTGAGGCGAATTGGATTGACTACACTGATAGAACGGATTAGTTATTGTTAACGAATGGATTTTGGTTGGAAGTTAGGGTCTATTCGGTCCCACCAAATGTTCATTTGTTAATAGTTAACGAATCTCGTTTGGAATAAATGAATCATTCTATCAGTGTACATGAGAAATCAGCCGTTAAACACCCACAACATCAGAAATTCCTAGTTTTGAAAATTAGAGGAGAACTTAAATTGAATGAAAACTTAATTATTCGAAATTGTTTATCAGAAGAAAGTTTTTTTAATAAGAGAAATTATGCAAAACATTTTTAAAGGTATTTAATTATCGTTAATTGTTGATCGAATGATCCACGAAGAAACTCCGAGAACAAATATCCGGAAAAATACAGCGCCATTGTTGGTAAAACGGTAATAAAAGAAACTTGGAATGAGTAATAACAAAGATAGAAAATTGAATTCCGTATTTGCATAACGCGAAATGCACTTTCAGCTGGACTTTGGGGGAGACGGGATTATTATAAAGTTGAATATCATAATGATATTAAAATATACTTTCAACCCTTTCTGGCGCAAACTGGCAAATGTATAAAATTGTTTATTATGACCAGACGGAGAGGTAACACACTATTAGGAGGCGAGTTGAATTCATTACATGGGGAATCATCCATTAAATACTCACAACATCAGAATTTCAAAGTTTTGATAATTAGAGGAAAACTTGAATCAAATGTAAATTTAATTATTCGAACATGCGTGAGAGGCAACTGTATACAATTGTTTGTTATAGCCAGAGGAGAGAGGAAACAAACTATTAGAAGGTAAATTGCATTAATTAGATATTTAATGGAAATCATTCATTGAATACTCATAACATCAGAAGTATACTGAAGTATAGTATTATTTAATAAGAGAAATTATTCCAAATATTTTTAATGGTAATTAATTATCGTTAATTGTTGATCGAATGCTCCACAAAGACACTCAGAGAGCAAATATTCGGAAAAATACACGGAAAGAAAAGTTGGCAAATTTTTCTTCAACTTTGTTCCCCGCGTACAACGCCATCATTGATAAAACGATAATAAAAGAAACTTTAATTAATTAACCAAGAAAAAAAATTGAATTCCTTATTTTTATAACGTGAAATTTACTTTCAGCTTATTGGAAATTGTTCATTAGAGAAGAGATGTTTTAATACGATAAATTATCCCAAACTTTTTCAACGGTAATTAATTATCGATAATTATTGATCGACTGCTGCACAAAGAAACTCAGAGAGCAAATATCCGGAAAAATACAACGCCATTATGGATGAAACGGCAATAAAAGAGACTCTGAATGAGTAATAACAAAGAAAGAGAATTGAATTCTGTATTTTTCTAGCGCGAAATTCACTTTCAGCTGGACTTCTGGTGAGACAAAATCATTATAAAGTCAAATATCATAATAAAGATGTTGGAAGATACTTTTAAACGACTGGCAAACGTATAAAATGCCAACTGCAGGGGCAGAAAGTGTAAAGAACCACCGAACGGAACGATCGGCTATCGTCCACGCGGACCGTTGCGTACTTTACTTCCGGATTTTATGGTATTTCCCTAACTCCATTCCCCTCGTACCTCCTCGTCGTATTGCTTTCGAACATAAATCAGAGTCGTT